CCTCAAAACCCCAACGGTGAGGAGGAACGGAGGAGGAGGGGTGGGAGACCAATGGCCCAAGGTCAGAGGGCTGCAAGGGACAGGGCCAGACATCCCACCCATGTCTCTGAAGCCAGAGCACTGTCTTTCTCTTAAACATGGCAGCTGTCGTTTTTAGAGCAATTCTTGCTGGAAGGTGATGGAAGACGACTCTTACTCTGTGATGCTATGCATGTTCCCTTGCACATTCTCCCTGCCCCCCACCACCATATACTCCTTTTCCCTCTCCCTGTTCCTCCCCATTCTCCCATTGCTCTTCATGTCCAGAAGAAAGCAGCAGCTCTCCTGGAAGCCAGTGTTTCTTTAACTGGACCTGAGGAGAAAAGAAAGGCTGGCAGTACGCAGCCCCTTGCCCATTGGCTGCCTCTTGCCCTTCCAACCGTGGACACCCCCCACCCCGCCTGCCCCAATGGGCCAAGGTGAAAGGCATTGCACAAACGCTTCTGCGAGTCATTCTGGCTAGGATGTGGTAGTCCTAGTCCCCTTGTATGTTCATAGATCATTACACTGTTTGCATTTCCTATGGTGACCGATGAAAGGACGTCCTTTCCTTGAAGAAGAGCTGAATGGGCCAGTTTATGTAAGATAGAGCCTTTAATCTTTGGACAGTGCCCAGGTTGAGCTGGACACGGGTACCGCCGTGTCTTGTGTCAGTCTGCTGATAGTGTGAGGGAAAGTAAAGTGTAAATGCCTGGTGAGTTGAAGAGAGGCAAACATACGAAATCTGGCTTTGAGTAGAGGATCCCACCATATGAGCCTCCTTTCAACTACGAGCTTGAGGAAAGGGGTAGAAAAGCTTTGTTCACCCAGGTAACAATACCAATGATGGCCTCTTCCAGGAGAAGCCTGACTGAGGCAGGACAAGGACCAAAGAAAGGTGCCTGTAAAGCCAAAATAACTGTTAATACATTTTGAATCTTTTGGATTGAGAAGTAAATAATAAAGAATATAATATGTGACTTTTAGTTTCCATATTTATATTGATGACCCACTTAAATTTATGCTGCTTAAGGTCAGGTTGCCTCTTGGGAGGAGAATAGAGAGGAGTATGACAGGCTGTAGCAGTTTTCCACATCATTGCCTGAAATCTCCGAAAGAATCTGAGAGAGTGCATTGATTTTGTATTGCTGAGAACAAAGCATCCCCAAATCTAGTAGATTGATACAGTAACTTTTTTTTTTTTTTTTTGCTTACGGTTCTGTGAGCCAAAAATTTGGGATGGGTTTAGCTATGCAGCTCTTATGGTAGTCTCACTGTGGTCACTCATACAGCTGTAGTCTTCTGGCGGTGAGAAGGTGACCGGTCATGCTAAAATGAGTCACTTACCTCAGTCGGGGTCGGCTGCCAGCAGAGCAACATGTATTTTAGGCTTTCTTGGGTTCCTTCACATGGTGGCGAGGTTCTAGAAACAGTGAGCAATTGAGGGGAAACCCAGTATGCAAGTGCTTTTCAAGCTTTTGACTTTGTGTCATGTTGGCTGGTAGTCCACTGGCCACGTCAAGTCACGTAGCCTGGTCTGGAGTCGTCCTGGGATGCAGTCACATGAGGGCATGGATGGATAACTGGAGACATGATTCATTGTAGCTATCTTTGCAGGAACAGTTTATTGTAGGTACATATTTGAAAATTAGAGTAGATATGTTGGACTGCAGGTGTTCTACCTTCACAGGGATTTTGTAACACACGGGAATGAAACTTATCAAGTATCATCATCCCCACCCTGTGGCCCGGCCCCCTCTTCCCCCTGCCCTGCTCAGCAATGAGCTGGGATACCCAAAGCTATCTCATCCCTTTCTCATTCAAAAGGAACAAACTCTCTAATATAAATTCTTTCCAGATGCTTATACTTGATGTGCTGCTCTTCCTTAGGAAGTAAATGATGTTTTTAGTTCTGATGCCTAGGTAATGTTTCCATTTTCTCTGAGTGGGTGTCCCCAGAGAATCAGTTGCTTCTGAAATGACTGAGGAACTCAAAGACTAATGGAGGTTAACTAGGGGAGATGCTCCTATCCCACATTTAATAAAAATAGAGTAGAGTTATGCAAGTATGTAGATAAGCTAATCATCTGACCTAATCAGCAATGCAGATTTTAAAAAGCCTTTCTAATTACTTCCTCAGCTTGGCTGAAGGTATGGGTAAAAAGAGTTTCCCAGCATGCTGGTAACAGATGTATTTCATAATATTTATTGAAAATATTGGAAAGAAATCCTCAATTATGATGATCCTGAAAAGTACATCAAAAAAGATATCATATTTAACATATTTTAAACTTTCATTAAGATATAAACATAACATATTTTAGATCATCAACTCTCCCACCAGTTATTTGGAATCATTATTACAATTAGACTTCAGCTCTCAGAGCCAGATTGCTTATTGGTTAACTGCCTGTGTCTTCTCTGAGTTGTGTTACTTATCCATGAAAGCTGTAGTTCTCTTGGACAAAATGGGACCACCGCGATAGTCTCCGTTCTTTTAGCTGTTTGTTAATCTGGTATCTTGGCAAAAGAGTCCTAGTGCATGATGTTTCAACAACTTTAAATGTTAAGTTGCTGACATTTACAGGCATATGTAACACCACACAATATGTGATTTGGAAGCCTAGAGAGATCTGATACTCATTTTCTTGGCAGAATTTGAGTAGTCATGAATGACTGTCAAATAAATCATTCTACAATAGAGTTGCCCAAAAAGAAGCTATCAACGAATTCCTGGTTGAAATGCCTATGTCATTCCTGTGTGCTGTGCTCCTTGAGGGATAGTTGCTCCTTGAGGGATAGTGCTTGGTATCTTTCTAGCACATTCTGTTTAATATAACGTTGGCCTGAGTGAGTTGCCATTGCCCACAGTCAAAATAAATCTTAAATGAATTAGTCCGTTAGTGCCTTTGGAGTGACTGAATGCTTCAGTAGCTCCCTGTTATCAGATGCTGTGGACCTGGTTGCTGTCCTCTACAAAGCGCTTCTCCAACATCCGTCTTCTAGTGAATCTTCTTCAGAGATCAGATGGAAATTAACAGTGTTTTGTGCCAGACAAAGACAACATTCAAAAACTCTTAATGAATGTCCCTGCATGATTCCTGGCATTTGGGAAAGTGAATGCTGCGTTTTGGAGAAGCGAGTGCTGAGTCATAGGACGGTGACTGGTTTTATTTGAGGACAAGGCCAGAAAATATAGATAATCCAATATACAGTTTACTTTATTGGCTAGTGACTTTGAAACTACAACATGTCATCAACTGGAAGTCATAAGATGTGACACTCTTGTAAGCCCAGACTGTTAAATCTCTACATCATAGCTTCTCAACTTGGGTGCTTTTGGCATTTCAGACTGGATAATTCTCTGCCATGGGGGACTGATTATCCTGTGTATTGTGGGATGTCTAGCACCATCTTTGACTCGTGCCCCCTGGATGCCAAGAGCATTTCCTTTCCGTGGAGTCACTACAAATCAGATTGTGACAAGCCAAACGTTGCCAAATGTCTCCTGGGGGAAGGGGGCAATTTTGTCCTCAGCTGAGGACCACTGCTTTAGATTATCTGAATGATTTTCTCTTTCAGCTAACATTTATGAGGCATTTCTTTGTTAAAAAATACATTTTGGTATGTTTATATTTACAGACAGAATATATGTCAAATACACTAAAGCAGTGGGTTCAACAGATGAAAGTTCCTTCCTGACCAAGTTTAGTTAGAAATATGGGGAAACTCTCTTGGTTTTTCTTTTTGTATTTTACGTATTAGGTAGAATCATGAGAAATTGTCTTTTTGTGGGTTTAAAAAAAAGGTAAAATATCACCATTTCCCAGTGTTTCTACCTAATGTATAATTTATAGTAATAAAGAAATGATTTGAGAAAAAAAAATTATAAGCGTACCCAGATGTCATCATGGTTACCATGATTTTAAGTGTATTTTGCTTTCCTTTGCAAGCAGTGGTGGTTTTAGAAATTTCTTCTAGGCAGGTTTGAAGAGCCAACAGTCTGGCTGCTGCTGGCTGGGGCTGAAGTCATATATTTTAATAATGTGATTGCGTAGCTTGTGCAATACTTTTAATTTAGAAGCTGTGCTTATTTTGTGCTTGAGGTAAGGGCTAATGGAAATCTTAGACGGCGGTGGATACTAAAACTGTTCATTGGGAGGAGGAAGTGGAAATGAAATCTAAATTTTAAAAATATGCATTCACATATTAAATGTTGATGGTAATCCTTTCATTTGAAAGGATCTGATGGTCTCAGTCAACAGGGGTCACAGAACATCAGGCTATTTCTTGCTTTGTTGGCAAGTTTACGGTGGGAGGAGAATTATATCTGGAAATGCCTTTCTGAAAAATGAAATCGAAATGGAGATGAACACTTTCTAGCACATAAAGCATAGCCACTGTCATTTTTGTGTGCTCTAGATCTCTACTTCGAACAGTAATGAACTGTGAGACAGTATTCATTGAAGTATGAAAAATACCTAAAACTTTATGTTAGTCTTGTAAACCTTGTTCTTCCTTAAGCTTATTAAGAGAGCTGTAGGCAGATAAAATCTCCTCTCCCTTGGCTCTCCAACCTTCCAGGGAATGCGCTAACCAGTAGTGAAATGGCCAGAACTCTGGCAGGAGATGCAAGAAGGAAGAGCCAGGGGGTTGCAGAGTAATTCAAGAGCTACCTAATCAGCTTCTGACCACTCAAGAGTTGGTAATGTTGTAGATTTTATAGTTCGTATTCTGTAATCGTCCCCTGAAACTGTGGAGAGCCGACGGAGGTTCTGTAAATCAAATGAACAAGGAAAAAAAAAAAGTCCATAAATGCTCAGTACATAAAATGCACCACTTTCATGAATTCCTAGGATTTCTAGAGAGTTCCCTGTGCGTGATAGGCATAGAAGAGAGATGCCATGCTTGATGTTGGTCCAGGACCAGGTGAACTTTGTGCACACTAATTTTAATTCATTATATATGCCTTTTTTTCCCAGCACAAATGGACCCCCGAGGCCTATCTCCCAGACAGAGTAAAAGTGACAGTGACGATGATGACCTGCCAAATGTGACCTTAGATAGCGTTAATGAGACTGGATCTACGGCCCTTTCCATAGCCAGAGCAGTACAAGAGTAAGTACCACGTTCTCAGGATGAAATGAGACTCGCCGAGGTGTGCAGTGGGTAATGGAAGCAGCAGTACCTCCTGTTCCCAGGACTTGCCCCTCTCGCTCGCGACGGGCTCGCGCGTCAGCATCCTTCCGCCCCAGCTTACGTTCTCTGGGAGCAGGTTAGGCATGAAGTATTTTGCGTAGTTGAAAATCTGTGCGTTTATTAGAAATGAGGCATCTGTGCATCTTTGCTAATACTTCCTACCTCTTATCCTTAACTCTGAAAAAAAATACATTGTTCTTTTTGAATGTTGCCATCCAATTACTGCCCTCATTGTTATTGTTCATTTACAACAGTCCAGAGAAATAAAATATGGCAAGTATGATGATCTTGTTTTGATAGGAGAGTGCAGAACAGCTTTTCTGAAATGTTAAATTTGGAAGTTGATGTCTCACCACTTTGAAAAATCAGAATCGTGTGTGATTTTTGAAAAGATCTTTTCTCTCTCCTTATATCCGGACCATCGAGTTAGATTTCATCCTTGTTAATCAAAGATAGTTGCTTTTCCATCATTGTCGATTCCGAATCTAGAATCGAACCGGTGGCTAGTCCTTGTATATTTTTTCTCTGGAATAATTTTTAATAACATAATCTTACATAAGAGTAGGACTTAAATCGCCACTGCTGTAGCTGGCACATGAGTTATCGGGTCACTAAAAATGATCTTAGTCACTTTCCATATTTTAATTCCTTTTCCCAAGTATTGACTAAGTTGTGACTCTGCTCTGTGCTTTAGTCTTTGAAATCTTTAAAACACACACACACACACATGACTATGACATTTAGAATTTAGAGCATATGTGTGTGTGTAAAGTGAATAATATGTTTCTATGTTCCATGGGTCATACATAGTATATATTTGTGTGATATATGTCTGTGCACACATACAAATACATATGGTATGTTAGGGGAAATAGGATATAATGGATCCAAAATGAAATTTAGAGTCAGAAACATTTGAATTCAAATTTACATTTAAGCTCTTAATGGTTATGTGACTTTGGCAAGTTATTTAACCACTCTGAGATGTTTCTTCATCTGTATAAGAAAATCAATATACTTACCTTGTAGCCTGGTATGAGGATGTAATATAGTTATAAGATATAAAAATCAAGTCACAGAATTTTGGTACATAAAAGGCTTCAATTGACTATGGAATTAGTATTATAATTATATAATAGTGTGTAGTATATGACAACTAGGAAATTAATGTGTGGCAAATGTTGTTATTCTAATTGTACAAATGAAAACACTCAGAATCACAGAAGTTAAATGCCTCCTCCAAAGTCCTATAATAAGTAGAAGTAAGACAAAAGTTTGGACTTCTGACTCCCAAACAGAGCTTTTCCTAACAGTACCTGTCTTCTTTGTTTCCAGTAATATTCTTGTACTTCAACACCTATAAAAAGCATTGTTTCACTCAAATAACTGGTTATAGTCACCTAGTTTCTCCAAAGCAAATGTTCATTTGCCAGGATAGGCATGGAATCAAAGGGGTTGCTGAAATCATGTTTGAAATGATGGCACGCTGAGTCACCTCATTGCTCATTCAGTGATCAGCACAGTTTAATATGGTTTTGTGTGACCTAAATCTTAAGATCCATCTTTAAAATTAGACTCAATGATGACAGGCTTCGATCCTAAAATGAATAGTACGTTTCAGAGACATTTTAGTCATAGTATTTTCCTATATCATTATAATACATGTATAATTTCTGTGTGTGTGTGTGTGTGTGTGTGTGTGTGTGTGTGTGTGTTTACAGAGGTGGGTGGTTTTTTTTTTTAATTCAAACTTTAAAGTTGGGAACTGTAATTATGAAAATCTAAATTATGTTTACTTTATTTGGGACTTAGCATATAATGATATTAACTTTTTAAACATAACTATTTTTTTTTTTGCTTTTAATATTATGTGCTTATAATATGTAGTGTATTTTAATGTGAAACGTTTAATAGCAGCCTCAAGAACTGGAGCCTCATTTTCAGCCTAACCTCTCAGCCTTGCTTTGTGAAAACATTTTCAAGGCACAGTAGCTTGTATAACTGCGTATGCCTGCCTTTATTACTGTTTCAAAAGTTGCCTGTGTATCTAGGGAAATGCCAGATTCATTATTCATGTAAGTGTTTTCATTAAACGATTGGTAAAGAATACTGAGCTGTCACCTGGGAAGCCCAAGAACGCCAGGACCCATCAATAGTTAATTAAGTCTCATTCAAGACGCAGTGTGTATATGTAAACACCAGGAAGTGAGAAGATAGTGTTAGATGAAGCAAAAAGAATGCTCTGCAGAGACCTCTTAAATATGGGTGTATTTCAAAACTTACAGTAATACATTGAGGAAAATTTTATTCTGGGACAAATAAATATATAATCCTTGTTAGACACATTAAAAAAAAAAAAAATCAGTACTTAGGTTTACCCGAAGTTAACTTTCAATGTACGTCTTTCTGCTTCTCTCTTAGTTTCTCCTTGATTCTTTAATGCATATTACTGTTGGTGATTTTCTGTTTTTGCTTTTCCTGTTTGCCTTTGGAACTTGATGCCTTCTGTTAACTCAAAAGCTATCAAACAAAAATTCCAGTGTACTATGGTCAATAAAATAATGCATTAATAATCGTGTAAAACATCAGCTTGGCATATACAAGATGAAAGGATTTCAAAAGACACCTGTTGACCTCTTCCCTGTACTTGCAAAACTTTCTTGAGAGAGAGACCTGTCCCTACAACAAGATGCTAACCCGCAGGGTAGATGCTCTTGTCTTCTTTCCCATTCAGGTGCAGAGTCTTGTCAATAATCACTGTAGTTTGAGTTTTTAATTAAGTGACTTACATTATTGACATTAGTATATCAACATAGCATAAACCTTAATATATGAATATATATTTTTTCTAAATGACTGTTACTGTGCATTTTACTGTTTTTGTTTTATTTTATTTTATTTTTTTTAAGATTTATTTATTCTGGGTCGGGGAGGGATAGAGGGAGAGAGGGCAAGGGCTGAACACAGACCTGCCACGGGGGCTGGATCTCAGCACCCTGAGATCATGACCTGAGACAAAATCATGAGTTGGGCGCTTAACTGATTGTGTCAGCCAGGCGCCCTTGCGTTTTACTTGTTCTTTTTTAAATGAACTTTTAATTCTTTAGTTTAAGAAGTATTTCCTTTTATTTGAAACGCAGAAGTTGTTAGGCAAAATGGCATCCTCCCCGCCAGATACTCAGATATTTCTGTCTTTAAATAAAAAAAAGAACATCACTTGGTACTAGAGCAGCAACCTGAGGTCACTTTGATGTGTTTAGATTTATATAGTAAGGTTCCTGAACGATGCTTGGACTAATCATTTCAGCCATTTTCATTAATTTGTTTGATTATTGTTTATCAGCTCAGGATCCGTGAATTCAAAGACAATGGAAAAAGCCACAGAGAGGCCCACACACAGGCTCTGCCCTTTTCTTGTTTTAATTGTGCAGATATCGTCCAAGTCAGAAACCGTGTGTTCAATAATTCTGACAAAGCCAACTTCCAGCAATTCATAGAACATCTGTTTTGTTTTGGTCCCCCCCCCCCCCCCCGCCGATGGTAAAATAGGGTCGTTACCCTTAACAACTTGACAAACATAATTATGAAATAAGTGTTTGGAAAAAGAGAAGTATAGGCGCATGATGAGAGCAAATTATTGTAATTAACTCTCGCCCCAGGCAAAACAATGATATTTTTTTAAATAGGTACAGTTTGGCTGTGTTACCCAGACCCTCTAATTTCTGTCTCCCTTTTTAATTCTTTCTCTCTAATTCCAAATATTCATACTCCTCATTGGTTAACAGGAGTAGAATAATCAACTTCATACAAACCAAAGTGTAAGTGAATGAGAATATCTCCTGAGAGAAATTTCAATATAACCAGGAAAAAACCTTAATCTAGAAGAATAGGGATGGAGACACAGGCATCCCGTTTTCCTAAGTTCCTGTTACGCCACTCTGCTTTTACAAAAGACCTGTTAGCACCTGTTTTTGCTAACTGAAAGAAAGTGAAAGAGGATTTTCATCTTTACGAAAAAGATGAACAGCAAAAATAGTGCTCAGTGTTTTGTTTTGTTTTGTTTTGTTTTTTGTTTTTTTTTGTTTTTTTTTTTTTGAGAGGCAAATGCATACTCTAACCAGAGAGAACAGCCCCACCAGACTCCCTCTGGGAGCCACACCAAGCATCTCAGCACCAGAGCTTTGAGCAGTGTTTGTGAGCAGCCTTGATTTATCTCCTCTTACCCTGTGCCTCTGTCAGCAAGATGGGTCCTTAAGGTGTCACAGAGGCCTAAGACAGGGGGTCTGAGAGTCTGGGAATGCTCCAGAACTCTTCCATTTAAGTTAATGGTCATTGCCTCTTTGCTCTACACCATTTTGGCTTACAAAACGTTTCATAGGAACGTTCTACTTTTGGGTATTAGGGGAATCCTGTGTTAGTACTTTCAGTAAGAGCAAGAGTGGAGGATGAGGGAAGCATTTGAAGATGTAGAGGAAATATACCTGTGTTACTCAGTGTCAGTCCTTAGAGGATTGGTGCGTGCGTGTTCCTGTTTAACTCCCACCACAGCTGAGGAGCCTACCCTCTCTGATCTTTATTATAACTCTCAGAGGAAAGAAAAGCAACAAAATTTGTAGCATCAGTAACTTTGTGCTTTGGCTACCTTCCCTGATACTTGTTACTTAATAAAAGGATATTCCTTTTAAATGGTTCATTGTCAAGTACATTTAAGCTAATCAAAACACTTCACTGTCCTCCCTCTCCCTGTTTTTATTACAGTTGACCCTTGAACACAGGGTTGAATTATGAAGATCCACTTACATGTGGACTTTTTTTGGTAAATACAGTAGAATACTGGAAATGTGTTTTCTCTTCCTTATGATTTTCTTCATATTTTCTTTGCTCTAGCATACTTCATTGCAAGGATACAGTATGTAATA